CTTTTCCTTGTTTCCACTGGAAGTACGTGTTTATTTTCGCCATGTCATCATGTCATGCTTTTCTAAAAAAAAAAAAAACATTAAGGCCATTGACGGTATGGGATTTGTTTATGTTAATTTGGTGTGTATGTGTGGTTTCATAATAAATTGTCAAAAGCATATTTCTGCAATTATTTTTGGTGCCATTAGAGGTGTGGAAATTACACTTCACCTTTAACCCTCTGAGCCCGACGGCGCCACACGTCACCTCCGATAAATGTTTACATAACTCGATGACGGATTTATCGATTTTCTTACCGTTTATTTCCAGCAGAAAGCTAACGAGCTAGCCATCACGGGGGTGTCTTTGGTGTCTTTCTAGCCGTTTTCTATCCAGCCTGGAACTTGTTCATCTTTTCAGAGGTTTTCAGCAATAAATACAATCACGAATATCCAACTTTGATGCTCTTGAAGTCCATAATTTATAAATATTCCGTCGTTTTTTCCGCTAGCTCGATGCTAGCTGCCATTTTGGATATCACGTGATGTTTTCACGTGATGGTTTTTGACCAATTACAGGCTGATCCGTTGTAAACATTGGTGTGGGTCATTACGCATGAACCAAGCGCTGATATATAGTGGAGAGAGATAGAGACGCACGGAGAAAAACAGAGAAAATGGACGTAAATAAAGCATGAAGATGGTTTTTCAGGAAAACAGAGCTTTTTGACAGATGAGGAACTAGATTACCAGGATAGACCCAGCTGAAGTGCCATTTATTTATTTACTGTAAAAAAGTATTATAGTAGTATAAAAGTATAAAAAGAAGATAATAAATAAAATAATTAATAAAATAGAAATGCAAAGCCTGTGATGTGGCCCTCTGTGTGATTGCTGATAGGAACTGTTTTGAGGCTTGGCACCAGTGAATATCATGAGGCCCAAAACGCCTGGACTTCTTTTGGGAAAATGTCAATAGTTTTTTTTCTGTACAAGTTATAATGTTTATTCCTGTGCTCCAGGACTCCAAAGACACGAGCAAACTATTTTCCAGAGGAAATTTGCTTAGCTTTTATTTATTTGTGTGTGATTTCAATAAATATTTGAGTTATTCAATTTCCGATTTATTTTTTCTTTATGGTCCCATAACTTATTTTACATTCAGGTGACATCAATGCAACACAAATATGCTGAAAGTTCAAGTTCAAGTGTGTCAATTGTCTGTGTTTACAAGCTTTTTTAGTAAATAACACCAGACGGAAAATTAATTGTAAAAATACCCTTAGGTCTCAGAGGGTTAAATTCTGCTAATTGATGATATGTCGACATTTGTAGTTTGTTTTCTTGGGTCTGCTGTGGATGTTGATGTCCACAAAGCCACGCTGGACTGTGCTTTAAAGGATTAGTTCACTTTTGAAAAAACTTTTGCTGATAATTTACTCGCCCCCATGTCATCCAAGATGTCCATGTCTTTCTTTCTTCAGTCGAAAAGAAATTAAGGTTTTTGATGAAAACATTCCAGGATTTTTTCCATATAATGGACTTCAATGGGAACCAGGTCCAACCGAGGTCCAAACGACAGTTAATAACTTTAAACGACTTTAAACGACACCAGACGATGAATAAGGGTCTTATCATGCGAAACGATCGGTTATTTCAGAGCTTATTCCAAAAATTTAACTTTTCTAAGGACAAAGGCTAGCCTTGCTCTATTCTGTGAGGCGCGTTTGTAACGTCACGTAATACATAATTACGTTCAAAAGGTCACGGGCGACGTAGCCAGAAGTACAGAGTCAGTGTTTACAAGTTGAACGCATAGGTTGAACGTGAAAATGAACTCAAACGCCGTTTACAAAAAAGGAATTAAAAGGTAAAACAACGATGTTGGAAGATTTTGATTCTGTACTTCCGGCTACGTCGCCCGTGACCTTTTGAACGTAATTACGGATTACGTGACGTTGCAAACGCGCCTCACAATATATTACAAGGCTAGCATTTGTCTTTAGAAAAGTTACATTTTTGGAAATAAGCTTTGAAATAACCGATCGTTTCGCATGATAAGACCCTTATTCATCGACTGGTGTCGTTTAAAGACATTTGAAGCTGCACTGAAACTCTCATTTGGACCTTGAACCGTTTGGTCCCCATTGAAGTCCATTATATGGAGAAAATCCTGGAATGTTTTCATCAAAAACCTTAATTTCTTTTCGACTGAGGAAAGAAAGACATGGACATCTTGGATGACATGGGGGCGAGTAAATTATTAGCAAAAGTTTTTTCAAAAGTGAACTACTCCTTTAAGCGTCACTTTCCTTCCTTTCACGCTCGTCTCTTAAGCGCCACTCGTATACGTTCCCACAATGCAAATCGTAGCTTGTCATGGTCCGTTAAATGGAGAAAGGAATATAGTATGTGACAGTTTAGCCGATTTCCTTGATTTGGTTTTTGTATCTCTCCATCCGTTCTGGGCCACTTCTCGCTCTCTTCAGTCTTTGTGTGTGTCAGGATATCTCTCATTCACTAGTGTGTCCTATTTCCCTGGAGAGTCCTTGGCCCTTTCTGAGAGGTCTCGCTGACTGAGGTGGTTTTGAAGTGGGTTTTCCTCAAAGTGTGCAGACTAAGGCTAACAGCTTATACTTATCAACCCAACAGCCTCATTTTCTGGCTGTCTCGGGGCTTCTGGGTCAAGGATGCATCAGTGTTGCCCTCCAACAGCAATTCTGGCCTCCATCCGATTACTCGCATCCAGCCCGTGACAAACATCCAAAGCCACAAACGGGGGGGCACATTTGGCCACGCTAGTCCAAATGTTTTCCAGTTGGCTTTTCTACAGTTAGCATGCGATTGTCTTTTTTTTAGATTGAGAAAACGCATGTTTGCATGTCTTAAACGGTGCTTAGATTTGTCCTAAACTGTGAAACTCAGAATTGTTTTGTTTAACTTTGGAAATTTAATTGAGCCAATTATATATAGCATCATTAAAGTAGCTAATCTGTGAATGGTTTTATGACATAAAAGTAATTGTGTGCTGTTTGCATCTGTTTCTCAGGTACCATTTTAATGAAGACATATTTTTAGTACCAATTGGCTTGCGTGACAAACAAGCAGCTTCCGTCTCAGATTATGTATTTGGTGCTTTGTGTTGAACACCAGAAGCTTGTCATTTCCTACAGTACGAAGCAGCTTGCTACGTTACGCAAAGTCTTGCCGTAATTGTTTTCGCACAACACCACTGGTGCAGATAATTGGCCATTAGTGCCGTCTGAACAATGCAGGTTGGTGGCTGAACACTGTTATGTTTTTTAATTATACGTCACTGTGAACGTCAAGCAGTTATGTTGGTTTATTACATTTCCCAGAGGGATTTTTACTCTGTGGACAGGCGACGGGTTTGACCCTTAAATGGTCCAGAATGAAAATCACTCAAAAGAAACATGAAGAAAAAGCAAAGAGCATGATGAAAGAGCTGTAATCTTGTGTTTTTGAGAGCATCATTTCAAAGATTATGTTGGTTTATTATTGCATGCAGGTTTAAAATTAACTTTTTCACTCACCGGCCAATTTGGCTACTAAGTTTTTAAGTTACTGGCCATTTAAAACTTCTACACTGTAAAAAAAATATTATAAATATTTATTATAAATAAATATAAATATTATAAATATTTTTAAGATTTGTTATCACAACTTATTTTCTTTTGTCAAATCAACTTTTTAATAATTTATTTAGTTGAGATAACTTATTATTTTGAGTTTCTGATGGTTAAATTAATCTCCTTCATTGTATTAACTCGCTTTCTCCAGTTCAATCAACTTAAAATTTTAAGGCAACCCAGGTTACTTACTTTTTTAAGTTAAACCAACAATATTTTTTACAGTGTAGTAATCACAAAATTTTTTTTCTTTTGTCAAATCAACTTAAATAATTTATTTAGTTCAGATAACATATAATTTTGAGTTTCTGATGATTAAATTAATCTCCTTCATTGTATTAACTCACTTTTTCCAGTTCAATGAACTTAAAATTTTAAGGCAACCAGGTTACTTACTTTTTTAAGTTAAACCATCAATATTTTTTACAGTGTAATAGCCAAAAAATAGGAATTAAAAGAACCAGATTAACTGTGTCATAGCATTTACATATATATATATATATATATATATATATATATATATATATATATATAAAATTGGATTTCATACATTCATTTCTTTGTCAAACTAAATCCTGTCGTCCTGCATCTCTTGCCTTCCTCTGACATCCTCATCACAAAAAAATGTGTTTTAGGTGGACAGATCAATTCAGCACACCGAATATATATAAATAAAAAATAGGATGTTGGGAAATATCAATGTCTTTTCTGTTAACCAAATGCTTTTTAATCTTCGCTATTGCTTCAATGCTAATGAACAAGCGTGTGCACTTGAAATGTTGACTACTGTATATTTGTTTTATTTTACAATTATTTTTTTCTTTAGACTTTTATTCAGAAAACTTTAGTGTTTTTAAATGACACACATATAATATCATGTATTTTTGATAGAATAATGTATAATTGGCAAATTTCATACACTACAATTTTATATGTTTACTTTAGAAATTGTATTTCTGTATAATTCTGTTCAGACAACTTTAAGACTGGGTTTAAGATGAATGATGTCCATATCAGAAAATTATGCAAATGATAAAGGGGCTTCAGTGCCTGAGGTGCTATTTTTATTTCATTTTTTTTAAGGGTTTTCCCAATTGTTATTATGACGCTCTGAGAACGTAATTAAAAGAAACTAGTGACGTGTGTGTTCAAGTAAGCCAGATATGAGCAGACAAGTTCAGTATTTGCAGTAACACGGCTCGTGATTTGACAGCGTTACTCACCGCAGTTGATTTTTACCCGCATTTGACGGGTGTTGATTTCAAACTCTGATTGCGTGCAGTTGGTGTTAAATCAAGAGTTAAATTTTACTAATGACAAAATGCGTCTCGTGCTGTAAATCCTGTAACACGTTCTTCTGTCTGTCCTCAGGTTCTGCCATTCAAGAGTTCACCCCGTTCAGGTTCTCCGTTGAACCCGTGGACACGCTAGCCGTACGCGGGCTCCCCGCTGTGCTGAACTGCTCAGCCGCTAGCGCCGCTCCCGTACGGGTGGAGTGGAAGAAGGACGGGACGTTCCTGAACCTGGTGGCGGACGACCGGAAACGACAGCTAGCCGACGGCTCGTTGCTCATCAGTACGGTGGTCCACAATAAACACAATAAGCCCGATGAGGGGGTGTACCAGTGCGTGGCCAGCATCGACAATCTGGGTACCATCAGCAGCCGAACCGCACGACTCACAGTGGCAGGTATGAAGTTCATAAATCATACGTTAAAGGAGTAGTTCACTTTTAAAAAACTTTTGCTGATAATTTACTCGCCCCCATGTCATCCAAGATGTCCATGTCTTTCTTTCTTCAGTCGAAAACTAGAAATTAAGGTTTTTGATAAACATTCCAGGATTTTCTCCATATAATGGACTTCAATGGGGTCCAAACGGCTCAAGGTCCAAATGAGAGTTTCAGTGCAGCTTTAAACGACACCAGACGATGAATGAGGGTCTTATCAAGCGAAACGATCGAATAAATCTTTTCCGAGTCAATTTGTTCATTTCGTTCGTTCAATGAACCAAATGACACGACAAAAGATTTGTTCATTTTGATGAACGAGTTCGAACAGGAGAGTCACGAACGCTCATCACAGAACAGAGCAAGGTGAGCATTTGAGCTTATAAAACGTAAACTTTGTTGTTATTTATTTATTAAATGAGCGATCGTTTCGCTTGATAAGACCCTTATTCATCGTCTGGTGTCGTTTAAAGCCCTTTGAAGCTCATTTGGACCTTGAACCGTTTGGACCCCATTGAAGTCCATTATATGGAGAAAATCCTGGAATGTTTTCATCAAAAACCTTAATTTCTTTTCGACTGAAGAAAGAAAGTCATGGACTTCTTGGATGACATGGCGGTGAGTAAATTATCAGCAAAAGTTTTTTTAGAAGTGAACTACTTTAACACTGTAAAACACACTGGATCATATTTGATACACAATAGATTGCACACAATCTACTTCATGCCCTCTGTCGTCTGATTGGTAGTTTTGCCGGTTGAACGGCCTTGTAGTATAATTGCAAAAATGTCCACCTTCAGTTTGTTGTTCATGTCTTTAATGATTTCTGTAAAGATAATGTAAGAGTAACTTTTATATCATTGGTATATTTAAAGATGAACATTACTGGACTGAAGCTTCTTGTTTTTTAAATCAGTCATATGGATTAAACCAATTTGTTATAAGAAGATCTCATTGATTTGCAGAATTTCATCTAACTTTTGGGTCATGTAAATATTAGAAACTGCACCACATTGCATATTTTGCTCAGTTTGGGACTCAACAATGTTTTTTTTTTTTTTTTTTTTACTCCATATTCATACTTTATCAAACTACTTTAGCCATAAAAGCCTGATGGATCAAATATGATACTCTAAATATGAAGACTTTAATAAACTCTTCCATTTAAAAGGAATTCAATTTTTTTCCCCGAACTATTATTTTATACGTCAGACTTTACAGGGTTAATAAAAAAAATGTTTTTTTTTAAGGGTTTTTCTAGTCTGAATCTCAAACAGCATGCGCTCCGACCATCTGCTATTTTTGAAAATGCCAAGATCATTCTCAAAATCCCCATTTTTTTCTAATTCAGGACGAATGAATATCCATCAGCCCATTGGTAACGCATTATTCTGTCAGAGTTCACAGCTGATCTCGGATCAGTTTTCTGCAGTCGTGGGTTTTCCTCTTAGCTCATGTAGTCGAGCTTCACACTATGCTATGAATCTAATAGCAGGATTAGTGTGTTTGAACAGCAGGGTTAGATCTCATCCAGGCCTTCACAGTTTGCTCTGACTGGAACCTCCATTTCCTTTAAAGACGCCCGGCAGAGTTTTCCACTGTTTTGCTAGTTTTACTTCTTAAGCAAACCCAGTTGTAGTGAGAAAATCCAATGGGGAGAACCAGCATTGATATAATATGTTTATGTAGAGCTCAAAGGTTGCTCTTGGATGATTTAAATGGTTCATTCAAGTATCAACTTTGCCTCAGATGTTTCTCCTGAAGTCCTGAAGGAAAACCGATCAGTCAATAGTTGTCATACAATGAGAGTATAGACCTAGGGATGCACGATATATCGGCCAGCATATCGATATATGTTCATTTTTAATGTTATCGTTATCGGCCTGGTAAGAAAACGTGGCCGATATATATTAAAGCCGATAAAAAATGTATTATTCCCTTCAGCTGAGACACTTGTTGAGCACTGTTTATGTTTTTGAATTTCTTGAAATAGGATTGAAATCACTTCAAAAAATAAAAAATACGGTTCGGTACAACATGTGCAGCGCAAATCTGTCATATCGGCTATACAACACTATAATGAGAACTAGAGCCAGACCGATATATCGGCAGACCGATATTATCGGCCGATATTAGGCATTTTCTAAACTATCGGTATCGGCAGTTATAACGGCCGATAAATGAATATTAAAAAAATAAAATAAAAACGGATGAAACACGCTTGAACCATGTCATGAGTGTTGGAGTTGTATAGTTTGTCCACCAGAGGGCACTCTACACCTTTCCGGAGTTGGTCACGATACATACATTTCTTGAATAACAATTAAAAGAACATCCCCATCAGTTCTCTAAACTCAAATAAGCATGACAAAATTTGTGACTAATCATCTCCAGTTTAAAAAATAAATAAATAAATAAAATATCGGCCGATATATCGGATTTTAAAACCCAAAAATATTTGTATCGGTATCGGCCTTAATCCTTTATCGGTCGGGCTCTAATGAGAACATCATTATAATTGTGCGCTTGGGACATGGATTTAATTGTGAGACGTTTGTTTTTGTAATCAGGCTCTAAAATTAGATGCATATTTGGATTTGAGTTTATCGGCCGATATATCGGTTATCGGCTTTCAAATATAAAGAATTATCGGTTCTCGGTATCGGTCAAAATTTTCATATCGATGCATCCCCATATAGACCTATGAAAGTGTGCATAGCAGCAGCTCAAATATTAGAGTTCTTATTGAGATTTTATTACTGACTTTAATCGAATCCGAGCACGGTTTCCCAAACTCTAGAGGAGGAACTTCAGTTCATCTGTAGGAAGCAGCAGACTTCAAGTCTTCAATACATTTGCTATCTGTGAGGAATACATTCAGTAGGGTGTTCTTGGCTCTTTCTGTACAGTGTTTGAATCTAATTTACAGGCTATCATAAAGTTGTGTGCCGTATTGATCTGTACTGTAGTGTAATGTATTGATCGGTGCACATGTCGGCAGTTCTGTATCAGTAGAATCTGCAGAAATTTCTGTTCTTGCAAGAAATGTTCCAGGATTAAATTATCGTATTGTGCTGTTTGATGGAAGCTTCTGATTGGTTCTTTTGTTCACTGGGGCGTGGCCAAATTCTGATACATTAGTATTACACCCAACTTTGAATATAAAACAAACAGAAATATATTTATTTTTTAATTGTCGATGGGAAATTTGGTATTCCGTGAGAGGAAAAATATACATTTTAACTTTTTTTTTTTTCTGATTAAATATCGTATTTCCCTCAAATATGTCTTATTATAGATATGAATGCTATTTTGCATTTTAAAAGTGCTCATGTTGATCTTTTTTCCACGTTTTAAGATCGTCTAAGCTGGTCTTTCTTTACAACGTAAGCTTTCTCAGCTCCAAAATGGCACAAAAAAACAACAACTTAGCTATTTTTCTTTACGGCTAATCATTCTCTGAATGGGTTTGGAGCAACTTGAGGATGGCTATGTTTAATTTTGGGGGGCAACTATCTCTTTAAGTTGTGATTTTAAGTTGTTAAAAGTGATTTCTGTCCTCTTCAAAAACACAGGTTTTTGGCGGGAAATGTTCCGCCTGGTCTTTTAACTCTGTTTAAAGAGTTTGACACGTGTGTAGTTCACACACTTGATGGCTCCTCACCTCTCCTCCGCCTCTCTCTCTGGCCTTCGGGGAAAAATGGTCTTAAAACACAAGCGTTCTCTCTTTATTCATTTCTCCGGTCGTCAGGTGCTTTCTCAGCGAGATCTGGCCTGTGAAGCCGTATCAGTGGCTCCATATGCTGCTGGCAGAAATAAAGGATGCTTTGGGATGAGGAATGACGCGTTCAGGCTTTTAGAGGAAGGGAATTAGCATCAGTGTATTATACTATTAGACTCGGAAGAGCTTTTGTGTTTTGGTTTTAATGCCTGTCAGTTTTGTGTTTCTGCTGTAGTGAATATAGCACAGATTTACTAGATTTAGCATGTTCTGAAGAACATTAGAGCTGCTGTTGAATGTAGTTGCTAAGGATGGCTCTGGGTGCTTTTTAGCATGTTGTTGTCCAGGTGGTTTTTAGTTATTACTACATGGATGCTCGGGTGTTCTGGCTGTGTTTTACTGCATTACTATGCAGTTGTTGTGTTTTATAGATATTCTGGTCTGGGTTCCTCAAGTGTACATCTGTGAGATTTTTCTGCTCAACCTATTTTCTGGTCAAGCAGGTCAAAATGATGCATCTGATCACTTAGTAAGGGTACCACCAACACACATGTTTTGAGAAATCATTCATTACGCTGGTCTTAAAGGAATAGTTTACTTCAAAACTTCAAAATTAAAATTGTCATCATTTACTCAAGTTTTTGAGTATGAAATCCGTTTTATTTTTTCCCAAGTTCCGTTTTTTTCCGTTTTAATTTTTGGGATTTTTTTTTTTTTTTTTTTTTTTTTTACCCTTGACTGTTGTTTTAGTTGTAAAAATGATGCTTTTAAAGTTAATGATTAAAATGTCTTAAAAATTACAAATAAATTAGAAATGACCTTAAATTTATTGAGGTAATACAGACATTTACTCAGTAGCCTTTTCAGGACAAATACTGCGTGATGCAACATAACACTGCACTCTTCAAGTAACAACAAAATATGGTTATAAGCTTTAACCCCTTACCCATCACCCCCCTTTTTGATAATTGACATTAAAATGCGCTATACAAACTTAAATGGTTGTAATTAAAGAATGCTTTGGAATATATACCCAAGTTTGGTCTTGTTTCAAAGAAAACAATCAGCAGATTATTACTGATGTGAAAGCACTTCAAAAAATTAAAGTATGAAAAAGTTATGGAAGTTATAATTTACAGTAAATCAAATATAATTTATTAATATATATTTTTTAAATAAAATAAATATTTTACAAAATATTTTTTACTATAAAATGAAAGCTATATATCTAACCAAGTTG